TTACTTTTAATACAGAAATCAAATGACATTGTGCTGTTAAAATGACTGCTTTTGTATTGTGTTTGTGCATTTTTGTAGGATCTGAAATGTCCGCAGACGGGTGTGAGCTGTGAAGATGGAGTCCGCAGCAGCATCCTGGAAATGGTCCAGTGCCATGGATGAGACGCTCCATCACTCCACCTTTTACCGTCTCATCAGGACCGGATGTTGCTGTGGTCTCTTCATCATCAGTGACCCCAGAGCCAGCGAGAACATCTAGAGAAAGACCAAAAGACACTGAGGATGTGAGTTTGGTCAAGTTTGTCCTGCTGGCTTGCTCATACAACATCAGTCAATGGAGCCAGAGTTTCAGAAGCTTCAAAAGCATCATCAAATAAAGTCATGAAGCTTCTGAAAGTCAGGCTCCATGGACTGATATTGTATGAACAGAAACCAGCAGGACAAACTTAACTAAAATCACCTTTTGTGTTCAGGAAAAAATAAAAAATGATATAAATAAAAAATACCCCAAGGATTGAACAGTGTAAATAATGACTGGATTTATATGTTTGGATGAACTAACCTTTTACCCCAAAAAGAAAAAGTAGTACCTTGAAGAAATAAACTTTAAGAAATAAGCAGCTTTATTGAGCGTTTGTACCCAAGACACAAAAAAGGATTTACAAAAATCACATTTACATTGATCAGAAACTTTTGTCCGAAGTGACTTACAGTGCTCTTATTACAGGGACCCCAATCCCCCTCAGCCACCTGGAGTAAAGAGCCTTGCTGAAGGACACACCGGTGATGACGACTGCGGAGATCAAACCAGCAACCTTCTGCTTGCCAGGTCAGTGGTTTAGCCCACTACACCACAAAAGTAGTAAATGAAATGCTGAACATTAATGTATGTCGCGCTCATGGAGAGCAGGCACACAAATGTTTGGAGCAGACACAGCAGCAGCCAGATTGTCCCGCATGTGTTCACCTGCTCTTGCTTCAAGATTGTGTAGTACGGGGGGGCCTCATCCTTTCTGTGCACTCAGGCAATGATAGCCTCGATGTCCCTTTCTCATCCATGATCAGATTCCGTCTGACTGCAGCAGTGAGGGTCGTGATGGACAGCAGAGACAGGTGAAGGTGGGCACGGTGGTAAGCTGCTTCATCAGAATAAAGCTGCAGAACTGGCACAGCTGTGTTGAGATGCAGTAGATGTGGGTTCACCGCCTGTAAATACATGATCGTTAGAACAATATGTTTGAATAAAGCTTTGTTTCATGTGTCGATGACTTTTCATGTGACAATGATATTTATTTATTGTCATGGTTACTTTTATTTATTCTTTTACTCATTTATTCATGTTTTCTGTTGTCAGTAAATAAAATATAATTGTTTCATTAACTTGTGAATTCATTACTTGACTGAAAATTGAGATGTATTCAAGTCATTCACAGAATAATGTAGCTCTTTATTACATATCTTTGTCTGGATGAAAAGAATTTGCTCTCCACCACCAAATCTCCATAGTTCCTGAAACGTGTGCAGTCAGATTGTGAGGACATTTCATAAACATCAAAATATTTACAGATAGATGAATTAAACCCGCCACTCGTATCTTTTAAGTTGTTGCGCTTGTAACGTCGTAGATCACATGATAACGTCAACATGGCGGATGAAGTCCGGATCTCATTCATACTTAACGAGATTTGGCTGTAGAGTGCCTACTCTTTTTGCGCTCGTTAAGTAAGTACTTATTTAAATTAAGTACCTACTCATTGAGTAGGCGGTTTCGGATGCAGCCCCCTACTCTGCAGCCACGGTTGCCAATCACCACTCCAAATTACGCATATACATCACTTTTCTTGACGTTGGTTCAACTTTGCTTTTTGAACCAGATGAACGAAAGAAAAAAAAAAAATACTATAACTACATATGTAACTATGCCTACTTAACATTTTATACTTAACTTTTTTTACAGATTAAAGAAAAAAAGCAAGCATATACATAGCTTTCATATTATGTTTATACTTACTCCAAAGTGTAATTTCTCCCCATACAAATTATTTCTAAATAAAATACCCTAAAATTAATAGTAATAATTATAATAATAAATTCAACAATCTACTTTAACAATATACACGTGCCACACATAGTTGCAAATGTAACATTGCTTAAAGGTATTCTTACACACTCTTCTATGACATTCTCTCTCCCAACCCTATGTTTGGTAATTACTTTATTATACATCAAAAGTGTGATAACATGTATATTACAAGTGTATTCATGGATAAGCTTCATACAAAACGATACAGACATCACTACATCTTCAAAGATTTTGTCAGAAGAGTTGCAAGAGATACCTTTCCATTTTTTTCCCTACAATGAAAGAACATCACTTTAAAATAATGAATGACATATCCATCTAAATAATTCCTTGTCAAAATTTTGAACATTTCTTGTCAATTCTGTGAGAATGACATTGAAAACACATTTTCTTTGTCTGTAACCATTCAAAGCTTTTCTGGTCTTAGTTGTACAGGAAATAATATTGATGGAATACTATTTTCCTCATTTTGTAAACAAAACTCCAAATTCCTGTTTTGTCCAGCTCTCTCTCAGTGATTCTCTTGGAAGACAGCTGCCCTTTTTGACACATTTGTGTTGATGTAACCTGTCTCATCAATAGATGACATATATAAACTTGTATTCTTTATCTCATATTAACCTCAAGAACTTGATTAAAGTGTAAAATATTAGTCGGGAAAAGATAAATGAACAGCCAGAGACCAGCATGTTGTAATACTTATGCCTGTGACCTCCAGTCCATAAGTGCAATTGCAGTCTCATGTTGGCCACAAACAAGTAATGATTACCTATTTAGATTTTTATGTGCTTTACTTTGTCCTGTTCATACTGTCCATCTGAAACTGACCCGAAAAGACAGCCACAGTCTTAATTTTTCCACTATGGCAACTGAAAAGGACAGTTCACCTGACAAGCTAAGACTGAAGACTGAAGTAGGGCTGCTGGGTGGAGTGTCTCTCATTGCAGGCGTTATGGTTGGATCTGGAATTTTCATGTCTCCTCAGTTTGTGCTGATTTATATAGGTAGTCCAGGTGCTAGTCTGTTAATATGGGCTGCTAGTGGATTGTTGGCCATGCTAGCTTCTTTGTGCTATGCTGAATTAGGAACTGTGATCCGTGAATCTGGAGGAGAGTATATTTACATCTTGCGCACTTCAGGCAATATCATGGCTTTTATATGCGCCTTCACCAATAACATTGTGTTGAGACCAACCAGCATGATTGCAGTTGCACTGATTTTTGCCCAAAATGCCCTTACACCTTTTTATGATGATTGCCCACCACCAAATGGAGCAGTAAAATGTTTGGCAGCCCTAGGGATTATGGTATTGACAGTTGTCAACTGCTTTAATGTGCGCTCCTCAATCACAGTCACAGTATTATTTACAGCTATGAAAGTACTGGCACTTATAATAATTACGATTGGAGGAGTTGTGCTACTTATTCAAGGGGACACCTCGAACAGCCTCCAAAACTTCTTTGAAGGGACCAAGCTGAGCATCAGGCCCATGGGAATAGCATTTTACCAGTGTTTGTGGTCCTATGATGGCTGGAATACTTTAAACTATGTTACTGAGGAGATCAATCATCCTGAGGTAATTATGTCCTCAATATTTTCCACTGTGATAATAGTTTTACACACAAAGTGACAAAAATATCTTTATTCATTAAAAAAAACAGTACATATTTATAATGTTTCAAACATTTTAAACAAAATACATACAGTGCATTTTAACATTTTCATCACAATTTAATAATAAATGGTCTTTCGATTATTGCTGTTGCCTCTAGTAATTCTGTGTGTGATTTTTAATTTCCAGCCCATTTTAAGCAGCAATATAATACTTTTTATTACTTAACCCAGCATTTTTATAGTGTACAAGCTTTTCTGAAGATCCAGGACTTCATGAAATTGCATCTATAACACTTTACTGGCATATTAACAGTGATAATGTCAATATATTTTGTAATATTTTGACTTTTTTATAAGATTTTTTAATAATACATTTGTCATAATTATTCATCCCCTAGTCAACATTGCTGATTTTTAGTCACTTATTTGTATGGTGGGGAACAAAATTGTCTTGAAACACAATTAAACCTTTAGAAACTCTATTAGAAAACATAATTAGCTTGAGCTGTTACACATACATACAATAGCCCATGCATGTGCTGAAGTTGAGTAGCAAATATGACAAGTCAACAGAGCTCTCACAAAAGCTATAGAGAAGCTATAGTGAAGAAATTGTTTTAGTAATTTAGAAAGTCTACATGAAGATTTCCAAGTCATTAAAAATTCCCAGAGACACAACTGGTAGCCTTATTCATCAACTTAAAATGTGTTGTACTGGAAAACCTTTGAGGGTGTTGAAGATAAAGCACAATATCATAAAATATTTGATCGCAGCAACTGAGGACCTGCAATGTACTGCCAAAGACTTGAAAGATGACCTGATGAAAGGAGGAAAAACATTTTAATGCAGATTATAAGAAGAACACAAGGCAAGTATAGCCTTCATGTTGGGGCATCTTGCGGAATGCCACTCTTGACCAAGAAGAACATAAAAGGCTGACTTAAATATGCTAAAATTAATTTGGAGTTCTGGAAGAATGTTTTATTTACATTTACATTTAGTCATTTAGCAGACGCTTTTATCCAAAGCGACTGACAAATGAGGACAATAAAAGCAGTTAAAACTAACAAAAGAGCAACAATATATGTCTCGGTTAGCCTAACGCAGTACACATAGCAAGGTATATATATATATATATATATATATATATATATATATATATATATATATAAATAAAGAAAAACAAGTAGATAGAATAGGAAAAATAGAACCCTAGGTTTTTTTTTATAAAAAAAGAAGATACATAGATAAAGTAGAATTAAAATAGAATAGAAAGTGCTAGAGTTAGATGGTCAAATAAAGATGGAACAGATGTGTTTTCAGTCGTTTCTTGAAGATGGCTAAGGACTCGGATTGAGTTGGGCAGATCATTCCACCAGGAGGGAACATTTAAAAAAAAAAAACAGCTAATGTAAAAGTCCTTGAAAGTGATTTTGTGCCTCTTTGAGATCTTTTATGGAGTGATTTGACCGAACTAGGCAAGGCTAATGAGCAGAAGAAAACCATCTCCATGGTCAAACATGGAGAAGGGCCAGTCTTGTTATGGAGGTGTTTTACTGTTGCAGGAAGTGGAAATCATGACTGTATGAAGGACATCATGGATTCTTTGAGGTATCAGGCCATTTTGGCAAGAATTGTGATGCCTTTGGTGCAAAGACTGAAGATGATGATCAGTGGATTTTCTTGCAGGACAATCATCCCAAAGTATACATCCAAATTTGCTAATGCTTGGTTAGGGATCAGTCATAGAATGTTCTTGAGTGGCTTGTTAAGTCTCCAGATTTAATTGTCATTGAAAATATTTTGTTGAATTTGAAGAAAGCAGTGGCAATGTAAAAGCCAAAGATTATCGGTGATCTGAAAGCTTTTTCAGGCGAGGAATGGGCAAAGATTGCAGTAGAGAGGTGACAGAAGCATCTAAGCACCCCCAAGCAGTGTTTATTGGTGGTTTTAAACAATAAAATCATTTTGACTTTTGGGAGTTGAATAATTTTGAACATGAATGTTTAGAGCCAGTTTGATTTTTCTCTGGAACACTGGAACATTTCTTTTTATGACAATTATCCACAACATGTGCAGCTTTAAAAAAACTGATTTTTTTCCTTCTGCTTTTCAGGTGGTTGACGTGACATATTTTCCGACATGTGCTCTCTGTCCGCTGGTGGGAGTGTGCTGACCTGTGTAGGGCCCTATGAAATCCATAAAATTTTTTTGCAAATTCCGATGAATTTTTTCCCAAATTTAGTTTTTTCCGTTTTAATTTTTCTGGACTCCTTTTTAATGGTTAAATTAAATTTTATTGAGCAAAAAGTATTTCTAATTAATTCAAATTATGAAACATATAATTTCACATCAAATTATTAAAAGTTGAACAAAAACTACATGCTTAGAGCCCTATGAAATGTTTTATTTTTTCTCAGCATATGTTTTACTGTTACCAACTTTAGCATATCTAAACATTTGAATGCATAAAACAACTTAATTTATTCAAATTTATTTATTCTTAAAATAGCCTTATGAAATGTTTTTGTTTGTTTGTTTTTTTTCCTCAGAAATTCTGTGTTGTGAATGTAAATTTTTCTGGTCATCAAATGAAGGCATAAAACATTCATTTAATTTATCTTTTAATTATTGAAAATTAAACAAACTTTATTATTGGCAAACAAAGGGGGTTTACTATTAACATAAATATGGAAGAAATGTTGTGTGATTGTTCCCTAAAAAATTAAGTTTTAATAATTTTAGTAGTAGTACTATAGTAGTATTAGTAGTATTATGTATACATTCTACTGAACAGCCTATATATACAGGGCCAGAGTGGGACTCATTTTCAGTCCTGAAGTTTCATGCCTTAGACCGGCCCACTTTAGTTCACGACTGACTATAGGTCTATTAAAATAATGTAATTTAAACCTCAGTATATAGGCCTACCAGGGCCGGACTGGGATGCAATTTCAGGCCGGGAAATTTCACACTCATCCAGGCCAGACAGAAAAAAATGGGGGCCAAAATTGTACCTTTTGGGGTACAACAGTTTGTCACTGGAGCTGTACCCTTAAAAGGACATCTTTGTATCTTTTTTTTATTTTTATCCCTAATAGGTACATATTAGTACCTTAAGGGTACAAATTACTACTCTAACATACTAATATGTACCTATTAGGGGTAAAAAAGGTACAAAGTCCTTTTAAGGGTACTGCTCCAGTGTCAAGCTGTTGTACCCCAAAAGGTAAAATTTTGGTCCCTTTTTATAGCCTATACACCCACAACAAATTCTGAAACCACAGACAACCCTATTATTTGTATGGCCATAACATAAAAAGGTCTAAATCCTTAGTCTGGGGCCGTGAAAAATAATTAAAGGTTCTCTCTTGCACTGCACCTTCACTTCCCTTTTCCTTTTCTTCATTTTCCCCAATATCTCTGTCTCTCCATTTTTTCTTGTACCTGTCACTTCTTCATCAGCAGGTAACTACTTTCATGAACAGAACTGTGTCCACCTTGTTGCAAAACGACCACCTCATTGCAATTTGTTAGCACAGAATGTTGTTTATCCAAAAATTAATTAAATACCCAAGATTTAACAAAACTATATTTCATACTCCTGATAGCCTAACACAGTGGTTCCCAACCATTTTTTCAGGAGACCCCTATTTTAACACTGAAAATTTTTAACGACCCCCATGCCCCCCCCATTCAAACACACTAGCAGACACATTTCATTTAATGTGACAGTCAGTTGTATACGTTTTTAATCAATGCAAAAATATCAGACTGCAGTGCAAACAATTAGTTGCAACTTGCAACTATTGATTTTTTTCCCAACAACAGGTTCCACTTTTTTCCTAACCCTGATGAACAAATAACAGCATCACATTTTATTCTGTTACTGTAAATATCAAACAAATCTATCCATTTCACTTATTACCTTAAAAACGAGTAACAACATGCAAGCGTTCACAAGAACAGACTTTTCTTTTCAGGCTCTGCTTTTTAACTGATGAACAAACAGGAGCAAATTAAAATCTATTAACATGAATATCATTTAATCAGAGAATTAATGTATTATTGTGTTTTTTTGTTTTGTATTCTAAAAACAAAAAAACATACATACAGTTAAAACACAACAATAACCATTGCATAATAACTATTTGAATATTTTAAGTTATGCGTGTTTTTTCTTGTGTTCCTGGTTGAATTAAGCCCTTATTTAATTGTTAAAGGCTATTTAATATGAACTCTGGGCGTGCATATCTAGGGCTAGATATTGGATATTAGGCATGATTTTCGTGACAGCCAGACGAAAGTCATTGTGCACTTCCAGCTTGCCTTCATTTAGATGGTTACCAGAGAGCTAAAAGCAGTCTCGGACAGGTATGTTGTGGCGAATGGCAGGATGAGTCTGGTTGTAGCATGGTGCGCAAGCTTGGGTGTGACATTGGGTCGTTTGTACCGTTTGTACCCGTGTTCGGTAAAGAATCTCCTCAGAAGAGAATTAGACTTGATATCCAAGAGCTCATCCTCTGCTTCTAAATACTCCACATCCACCTCTTTGCGGTGAATGGATCCATTACCCATGCGCATTTGGTGACAAGTTCATCAACATCCGAAAATCGTGATTTCATCTCCTCCGTTCCATGTGATGTGTGAACTCTTTGCTCAAGGATTCAGGTAAATTTCCCCCAGTCTGTTTGAGAAGTGATGGAATTTGGTGTAGGTCTCGTTTTATCAGGTTATCCTAAAGTCCACTTTATGCACAAATGCATCAATAATTTCCTTGCATTCCAGCACATTTGCATCTGCGCTCTGCATGCGCTTGTTTTTTTCATTATAGAGGCTGAAAATATCTGCCAGGTATGATGTTCTGTTGAGAAATTAATCTGTCATTTCGTCAAACAGTTTCTGGTTGTTCAGTTTCAGGAACTCGTTTATTTTTTTTTCAGTTCAATAAAACAAACCAA